CTTCCGATCTGAGAGAGAGAAAGAGAGAGAGAGAGAGTGCTATAGAATGTGTGATTACAAAAGGCAACAGAATAAAAGAGAGTAAGAAAGCATGGAAACAACATACATAGTATAGCAACGTAAAAAGATATAAAGAGATATTTTAGCTTAACTAACCTTTTTCTCAATTTCCTTTTTTCCTTTCGTTCTTTCTTTTCTTCTTATTCTTATCTCTTTCCTTTTCCTTAATTTTCTTATTTTTAAAAATTTTTTTAAATATTTAGATAATCTTTCAAAAATTTCAAATAAATGAAATTTGTTTATTTACGTTTAAAATGTTAACTTCATGTGGCAACAAAACACATTTGAAGTTAAATGTGTTTGTAAATCTTTACTAATAATTCTTAATAGAACTACGGCTGCATTCTGATATACAGGGTGTCCCGTAACGCTTAATTAATATTTCAAGGCGTGAAAGAGAATGAAATTTTGAACTAAAGGTTCCTCTTTCAATTTTGGCTCAGACCATTATTTACAGAGTTATTAACGAATAAAGTTAATCAATCAGATCGCGCTTAGCCGAAGTACGCAGGAGCGTAGCGTGCCGTATGTGCGGCTCTTCGAGCTCACTTCACATACATTCTCCTGTGAAGTGAGCGCGAAAAGCCGCACGTACGGCACGCTACGCTCCTGCGTACTCCGGCTAAACGCGATCTGATTGATTAACTTTATTCGTTAATAACTCTGTAAATAATGGTCTGAGCCAAAATTGAAAGAGAAACTTTTAGTTCAAAATTTCATTCTCTTTCACGCCTTGAAATATTAATTAAGCGTTACGGGACACCCTGTATACTGTCAATACTGAAAATTTATCGATCACATTACATATACTGTAGATTGACTTTGACAGATCACGTCTACATAAAATCTGTATCAAAACAAGAATTAACAGCAAGATTCAACAAAAATTCATTCTCTTAGCTGTTTTGCGTAAATGCCAAACATTCGTTTTTAAGGTACAGTTATAATAAAATTAAGGATAATATAAAAAAGGATAATAATGCTGTATAATAATATATAATATTGTTTTTAATTTTATTCAGAGTTAATAAAAATTTTATTTTT